TTCGTAATTAATTTCGTAATTACGTATTACGTATTACGTATTACGTTTTTGGCAAAATAATTACCATAGCATGTATAATCATTACTAATTATTTTTGTTGATACAACAAAAAATTGAACAAGATACTTGGAAAATCGAATTTTTTCACAATGATAAAAATTCAATTACAAATACAACTTGAGAAAACAATGATGCTTCAATAAAATAATGGTAAAAAATTATTTAATAAAATAAAATTAGATTCTTATAAATGATTTTTTTTTTAACAGTGATTCTGATATTGAAAGCAAGTTCTAGAAAAAAAAGGTTTGGTTGATGTGAGCCACATTAATGTCAACATACCAAAAAAAGATCAATATTGTGAACCCAGGAGAAGGTATTGCTGATGAAGGTGAGCAGGTCATTGTCCACCATAGATATTTCATTTATTATAATGGCATAGATTTTCTGTAGCTAGTCTTGTATCTTTCAAGAATGAGTGTATGGTCCTTCCACCAATGTTCTGGAGGGTAACACCAGTAGGAGCCATTAACAGGTATTATTTTAGACTAATGATTTGTTTTGTCATGAAGGACTTCCTAAATCCATCAAAAGAAGTAGGGATATCTTCCTTTCATCTGATGATTTTCCAAAATGTTGTACAGGGTGCTGTAAATACCATATGGCTCATTCTGAAGTGATTGTATCAAGTGGAGGATGATGTGATGCCAGCTGATGAAACATGATATCGGATAGATCTTGATTCTCAAGCTCAGGTAAGAGTGATCTTATTTCTAAGTAAATTATTGCTTTGTTATATCTTAGGGGGAATCTTTCTCAGTATGTGGTTAAACATCCTAGCAAGTCGTATAACTGACCTTGCTGCAACCTTCATAATGAGATGTTGAAAGAAAAAGGGCTCACTATGTATCTAACGAAACATTCACTGTACAGTCACCTTGCCTTTTTTATCTTTGGTGTTAATAATTTCGATTTCAGACCTGGGGTTTTGGATCTGATTGTGGCTGAGGGAACCCTTTGGAACATGGTTCTCCATTTGATGGTGCAATGAATGATACTTCATGACAATGCTTTTCCATGATTGGATCAGGAATATCTGCATGGATTGTGTAGGTAAAGCCATGTATGTGGATCATTCCATGGTTTTGAAATTTATCATATTTGATGAAATGCCCTAATTCACCATCTCAAGGTCCTTCCACAACTTGTGATTGCTTGGCATGGTGTTGCCACTTCATGCAAGTAGGTCCATTTGTCTTTGGCCATAATCAAGGTATTTATTTTTGAAAAAGGGGCACAATTCGAAAGCAAAGTGTGTTTGTTGACTTGTTCATGATTTTGTGGCTGCCATAAGAGCTTCTAACAATCAAGTTGGTTCAGATTGGATGTTTCTCACAGTTCATGTTTCTGGTGGCCAGTATCCGGTTCTGATTTTGAAAATTTCTTCTTTCTCAAGCATCAATGTGGCTAGCTATCTATTGAAGGTGGTATTTTTTAATGTACTCTTTTTATTGGGGAAAACATCAAAGCTTCCAGATCAGCATTTTCAAATAAGATCAGAAGTTTGACATTCAATCAATCTACCACATAATTTGTATCTTTGTTGTGTATTTTTGGAGGAAAGAATCATTTAAGACAACCAAATCCGGAGGATGGGAAACCTCTTCTGGAAGTTGACTGCAATAGTGGTTCAACAAGTAAGTTGAATATGGGCTTTTTATTTGATAATATAGGTACAATTTTTATTATATTTAAATTATTCAGATATTAATGAATTATTTGTATTTTATACATATTATATGATATATTTGATTAGTAGTAGTATACCACTTTGACTTGTTAATGCTATGAAAAAATGAAAACATTGATTTGAAAAGGTGAGAAAATAAATAATACTGCTATTATGTATGTTAATGCTATGAAAAAAATGAAAACATTGATTTGAAAAGGCGAGAAAATAAATAATACTGCTATTATGTATGTTTATGATTATTAAAATTACATTTATTTGTTTATCAAAGTCATTGTTTTAGTGCGCACATTTGACATCCAAATTTTAAAATGAAAAGAAAATCCAAAGATATGATAATTGTGTGAAATTATTATCTTTATATAATATCATTATTAAATATAAATAATCAAATTAATCTAAATATTTATATCCATTAGATGAGAAACTATAAATGTGATAATTTATGTTAATATTGATACTAAATTTTAAAATTAATAATTGAATAATTAATAATTACCATTGTTGTTACTAATAATTGTTACTTTATTGGAATTCACAGGTTGGGGAAGATTTGTAAAATTCAATAATCTGCTATTATAAACTGCATTTGGATGAATTACTGCAGTAATTGTTGAAGGATCAAATTTTATTTCATCCATTTTATCAAACTCTTTTTCAATTGATTTATATTCATTATATGGCCTATAATGTTGAAGTGAATCATTCCAAAAATCAATAATCCTGTAAATTTTTCCTGCAGTTGGACGTTTATCTGGATTAGCATCCATGCATCTGAATGCTAGTTCAATATAGAATTTTGGTGTATTGTTTGAAAAACTGGGTCTTGCACCTTTACATATTTTTACTGCAAGGTATTCATCATGTGCCAAATTATTAAATGGTTGTTGACCAGTTGATACTACAGACATCAAAACTCCAAAACTGTATACATCTGATGCCATTGTATATGGTTTTTTTTTTAAAACTTCTGGTGCAATATATGATAATACTCCACATATATCATTTTTGTCTGATGATGATGTTTGACTAGCTGAGCATGATAATCCTAAGTCTCCAATCCATGAGTCATAACTACTTTGAAGAATATTACCACTATGAAAATCATGATGAATAAATTTTTTTTGATGAATATCTTTTAAACCTTTAATAATTTGTCTAAGAATAACAATTTTCTGCTTCCATTTTAAATTTTTAAAATCTTTAGTTAAATAATTTTGAAGACTTCCATCCTCCATATATCTCATTACAAATATATATTCATTTGTAATTGGATCTTGTGTTAATCCATAAATATGAATTATATCATTTTTATCATGAAACTTCATATAATTTTTGAACTAAATAATAAATAAAATATTTAATTACAACAATAATAATTGATAATATCTAAGAAATCTGAAAATAAATAAAAAAATAAAATAATTTACCTCATTAAGAAATTCATCAGAAATATTCTGTGAATCATGTAGTTTTTTTAGTGCAACAGTCCTATCTTTGCTAGTTCTTTTATTTCCATCAGTACATTTCTCACCATTTAACCAAGTAGCTTTGTATATAGTTGCAAAACCACCTTCACCTATCTTTTCAATATTTGTTAAATCATTATAAGGAATCCATTGAATATAATTACCATTCCAATACAAAGTTGCTTTAAGTTGTGTGCTTTTAATCAATTCATCTAATGTTTTATTGCCACTAGTCCATCCTTCAGTTAATAGCTTTGTATCACATGATTGACACCATGCATAATGAATATTATATTTATAACAAGTTGGACATTCCCCATACTCTTCATCTCTTTCATCAGAATATTCATCATTTTGAAGACTTTCATCTTCCATGTAATGCATTACAGATATATATTCTTTTGTAATTGGATCTTGTGTTAATCCATAAATATATACTTTATCACGAAATTTCATATAATTTTCAAGCTAAAATAACAAATAAAATATTTAATTACAACAATAATAATCAATAATATTTAAAAAATCTGAAAATAAACAAAACAATAAAATAATTTACCTCATTATGAAATTCTTCAGAAATATTCTGTGAATTATGTAATTTTTTTAATGCCACAGGCATATCTTTACTGATTTTTTCATTTTTATAATAATTTATACTTTTATAGCCATTTAACCAAGTAGCTTTGGATATAGTTGCAAATCCACTTTCACCTATCTTTTCAATATTTGTTAAATCATTATAAGGAATCCATTGAAGATGATTACTATAATGATACTTAGTTGCTTTAAGTTGTGTACTTTTAATCAACTCATCTAACGTTTCATTGCCACTAGTCCACCCTTCAGTTAACAACTTTGGATCACATGATTTACACCATAAATAATCAGTATTATATCTATTGCATGTTGGACATTTCCCATAATATTCTCTTCTTTCCTTTGAATATTGATCATCATAATCTTGAAGACTTCCATCTTCCATGTATTCCATTATAAAGATATACTCTTTTGTAGCTGGATCTTGTGTTAACCCATAAATTTTATTTATAAATGATTTACCATGAAATGTAACATAATTTCTAAACTATATAAAAAAAATATATTAAATTCAGAATAAGATTAAAAAATCTGAAAATAAATAATTTACCTCATTAAGAAACTCATCAGAAATATTCTGTGAATTATGTAGTTTTTTTAGTGCTACAGTCCTATCTTTTCTAGTTCTTTTATTTCCAATAGCCAGTTTATCACCATTTAACCAAATAGCTTTGGATATAGTTGCAAAACCACCTTCACCTATCTTTTGGATATTTGTTAAATCATTATAAGGAATCCATTGAAGATAATTATTATAATGATACTTAGTTGCTTTAAGTTGTGTACTTTTAATCAACTCATCTAATGTTTCATTGCCACTAGTCCACCCTTCAGTTAACAACTTTGGATCACATGATTGACACCATGCCAAATGGGTATTATATCTATTGCAGGTTTGACATTCCCCATACTCTTTATATCTAATATATGGATCTTCATTTTTGTCAGTAGGAGTATCATAATGATGTTTGTTTTCATTCAAAGTGTTTTTCATCATGGCTTTTGTATAATTTATCAAAAAAAAATTTTTTTCCCAAAGAACTTTTTTTTTCGGCCACAAATATGTATCACACAAAATATTAATTGGCGAAACGTGTACGAAGCAAGGGATTTACATATAAAAATTTGGGGCATACTAATTGAAGAAAATAATCGACTGTGTTTGTGAAATAGTTATACAACATACAAAATTTATATCGCACCAAATTTTATGCAAAACAATAGGATAAATGTGAAAAAACATGAAAATCAAAAAAAAAATCTTTATTATATGTTAGAAAAAAAGAAAGTTATGTACGAAGTCGCCATTTGAAGGTTTTTGCTTTATATTTTATATATATATGAAATTAAGTATGTCGATTACTACGTTTTCTACTCATTTCAATGGGAATACCAACTTCTTTCAAGGTTCTTTTTGCATTTTATAGTTTGGAGTTTTGGAACTTTGCTTTTATCAAACTGGCCTTCTTCTTCCACCATAACGTTCAACTCTTCCAACATAGTTTCAGCAGTGTATCTTCTTGTTCTATCTGCTTCTCCAGCTAAAAAGAAACCTTCCAACAAACTTGTAATTTGCACAGGCATATGATTACCACCACCTTTTTGTCCATATTTTTGGTTGCTTTTCAGTGCCCAACCCTTGGGAAGTTCAAAGACCGATTCAAGTGGTTCATTACCAGCTAAAAATTCAGTAGATAGTGAAGTTTATATTTTCAATCATATAAAAAATAAAATTATACTTGCATATTGGATCAATTGTTGATGAAACATTTTTTTTACTATCTATTGTCTGATCTAATAATAATTATTAAAAATATCTTATAGGTTTAGCAGTGTAAATGGAATACCATATAGTCCCGCCCCTACTTTAAAACAATTGAGCGTCAATATAAAAAACATGTTACACGTATGTTGTGTTGGTTGGTGTTTGCTGATGTATGTGAGGTTGTCATTTTTCGAGAATAATAAATAGTAACAATAAAATAAATAACAAATTTAATTCAAGGTGGATTTGTATTTTAGTTAACGATGTTGAAAATAAAAAAAAATTAGAATTTTATCATATAAAATAAAAAAAGCTGTGTCACGAAGTTGCCATTTTGGACATTAGTAAATTTATTATGAAATTTGCCCCTATGAAAATCCCCTGGTTGATAAAAGATCTGCGAATTAATATATTTAGATTTTCTGTTAAAAATTAAATTTTACCTGAATTACAATTATTCAGCATTACATAAATAAATTCAGCGTGCACCCTAAAGTCATTAAAGCCATAAACTGTAAAACTGTAATAAATAATAAATGAATGATAACAATTCAAATAATAAACGAATGATGATAATTCAAATAATAATAATAATAAACGAACGATACAATTTGAATAATAAACGAATTATAACAATTTGAATAATAAACAAATGACAAGGATTTGAATAATCAACAAATGATAACAATTCAAATAAACGAATGACAAGGATTTGAATAATTAACAAATGATAACAATTCAAATAAACAAATTATGATAATTCGAATAATAAACGAATGATGATAATTCGAATAAATGAATGATTTGAATGATTTGAACAAACAAATGATTTGAATAATTTGAACAAAAATTTGTATTATGAATAGAAACTCTACTCTATTGCAGAGTCACTAAATCTGGCACACATCTAATAATGTTCAAACTAATTAAAATCACATACAACTACATTACTTGAGGTATCCATACAAGCAATATAGTAAAACCAATAAAAGGGGTTCCTAATTAATAATTAAATGTTGGCCAAACCATTAATCATCAGAAAGAGTTATGAATCAATTAATGAAAGTGTTATTACTGAAAGATCAATTATTTTTTAATTTTTTTTTTACTGGAGGAGATTTCAAGCATATTTATACATCTTGAAGTATTACAAATAACATGACTTTTTACATGGTTTTGTCCAATAAAATAAAATAAAATAAAATAAAATGATAAATGACAACTAATTGACAATTACTAAAGTTAAATGTCAAAATGTGTCATTGATGATGTCATGATTAAATGATACCTGATGAAATGTTTTTGTCATAATTAATTAAAATAAAAATTATATTCATTGAAATGTCAGCTTCAATTTGTAAATGTTAACTCAAGTGTTGATGATAATTTGTCTTCCTTGGAAATATTATTAAACAGAAAAATATGGCAATGTGACTCTGGACACATTTGTAGTGCACTAATTCCATTCAATTCATTAATGGCATAGAAGGCTTTGATTAACTTTCTTTGAAATCAACACAGCTTTAACAGGACAAGTTTCTGGATTATTTTTGCAGGAAAATCAATTAACCAGCTGAATAGACCCTGGACTAGAGATAAATCTGTTCTTCCTTTTATTTATCAGATCAACTCACTTATTTCACTTATCAAAAACTATGCTATTGATACAGAATTAAAAGGGCACAACAATCATGATTGTTATGTTTGTAGTCCTACTATGAACCTAGAAACATTCTCATCAAATCCATCATCTTTAAATACTGTTAGTTCTCAAATCCATAATAAAAAATAAATAATTTATGAGGAGGAAGTAAAAAAGGAATATTACTTGAAAGTATTTCTTTAAATAAAACCAATCAGAAGTTAAAGATGCTCAAAATCTTAATGATGAATCTAAATCATTACAGCAAGATTACTTTTTAATGCAATGCTTAGAATACAAAAACACAATCACTCAAACATTAATAAACATTTGGATGAAATTGATAGATATTTAGATAAGACAATAAAATATTAATGTAATCAAAATGGTAGAATGCCGCAGAAATCACAGAATGTGTATTTAAAAACTAAAACGGAAATACTTTCCTTAATACCATGTAAAAAGATGCGGAAACGCGCTCTTTGACAGAAGATTATTATTATGTAAGATTCCGTAGATTATTTGTTTGGTAAAACGGAAATGTACTGTTTTTCGTAAAGATTTTTATTATTAGTTAAAGGTTTTTTTTCTTTTTGCTTTCTTCAATACATTAACTGTAAATGCACAATACTGTTTTTGCAGTTATGTTCTTCAGGTCATAGTGTACATGGAAAAGTTTTGATTTTTAAATTTAATATTTAAATATTTGGTTCATTTTTATTATACAGACAATTCTTTTGTGAAATAGTTAACAAAAGATAGCTCAAACGGAATCTTCTCACTTAAAACAGCCATATCATGGTTTCTTTTTTATTATCAAAGACCAATTTTAAGACATGCCGTTTCTCAGCGTTGCTAACAATACCAAACATGGTTTTTGGAGTATCATTGATTGGTCTGATGGAATTTATGGAAAAATTGTTCAATAAAAATTAAGTTACATTAAACACAGCAAGGAATTTAGCATACCTTCTAATTTTGTCCATATCACCTTTTTTTGATTCAACAAATAAAGGTAGCAAAATCTAATAGACCTCTACCACGAGTAACCTCAATGCTCCACTCGCATTTGATTTCAAAATCTCCATTATACAAAGATGATGCAGCAGCCAAAAATGAAAATATGATATGGGAGCGATGAGCCACTGATCAATTTAATTCGTTCTTGACAACTGATAAACAAACTGTACGATTTTTAATCTTTGATTTATTTATTAGGTTGCTGATAATTAATTGCACTATTACATTAGGCTCGATCATATAGAACTATCATCAAATAACCCGCCAATAAAGGAAATAGTGAAGGAAGGACATACAAAGTATCATCATGGTGTAACAAACCTTTTGATCCTATAATAATTTGATCGATTTATTGGAACCTGTAGGTCATTTGGTCATAGGAATGCTCTATAGAAAAACAATTGTAGATTGTGTGAATTATGTAATTAAATCTTGCAATGGTTTTCATAATAACTTGTGCGGTTAATGTAGAAATAGCAAAAGATAACATGGTAGAAGTTACATGCAAATACAATCTTGATACAAATAAGCGCCTTCGAGTGAAATTCATTATGCTAATGATAATCTTCCTAGTTCATACGAGTCAATAATTTTTGAGATCTTTTGTAATATCTGATAGTTGTGGATTTCAGTTAAATGATTTTAACTAACAAATTCTTTGATATTTTGGAATTCGTTTTATTCATAGATAATCGCATATGCACATATGTTACTAGGTTGACCAGTCGTCGATTATATGTTCCACCAAAGTGTGTGCAAAATCTAGATTTCCTGTTTATTTTCATATTAAATGTGAAGGATTTTTTGTCAACTCCTAGATTTACCATATGACATATCCAAAAGAATTTGCAGTAAGTGAATTGTTTGATTGGTTGTACGAACAAATATTAAAAATAATGGTAAGTGGACTTGTCACTCTCCACTTTATTTCGCACGCTTACTTGTTTATATATATTGAATTTTTTCCACTTCAGCAAAAATGCAAGAAGTCAAGGCTGCTTGATACACCAAAAAGAAGTTTATCTATTTTAGTGATCCTCGCATCCTCAAGTTCCGAACCTCAAAGGCAAAAAGGTGTTCTAAAGAAGAAAAAGATGTCTGGTTGTGATAACCTTATTTCTTAAGACTTATAAAAAATTATTTAATATTGGTTTTATTGTGAATGGTAGACACATTGAATGTTTAATTCTAACCAACACACATGACGACAGATTAAATAATAAATCTTTATTATTATTTCTTCTTCAATAAGATCCTCGCGTATTGATTTTGCCTAAATTAATCACGGTCTATAAAATCACTGCAAAAAAACCAGTGGTCAGATATATTTTAGGCATCATTATTTATTATGATTCAGTAATAACGAGACCGCAAGAATAAACATAGGAGCGTCTAGTTTACTTTTAGTCATAATTGTGTAGTTTGTTAATTATATCATGAGCATGAATTTTATAGCATGTTAGAAGGGGAAGAACAGAACCGAAACAATACTTTAGAATCCTATACTTTCAATTATTATGTATGGAGAACATTGAATATAAGCAGGGAAAATAAAACAACAGGCAAGGGACTAGAGTTGTCTTTCTAATATTTCTAACACTAAACTTTTTGGTCATTGCCTAAACCTGAAATAAAATGTTCACTTTGTCAGATTTTGCTACAGCATGCCCCATATTATTTATTATTCAATTAGTTCAATTCCTACAATCCTTGAATCAGGATCAATGTAAAATGGTTCTTTGCTAACTCTTTACCACGCACAATGCTAATTTTTGCCAAGTACCTCAATGAAATCTTGAAAGAATGGAGAATCTTCGACAGGGTTGCTAATAATAGGTTCACTAGCAACCTGAAGATTTGCATTGGTCAAGACTTGAGAAGTTACAAATTGACCATCATAATTAATGTTTCCCTTACAAGTAACAGCCAGTGTACGATTTGACACAATTTCTCTAACGCCAATATTTTTTATGATAGCGATGGTTTTAGCATCCCAAAGAAAATAACCATTAAAGAATTTAGGATCACCACCAAGCCATGTTGAACGAATGATGGACAAAAGTTCATATGTAAATTTCCCATAGAAACTTGTGAGATTTGAGAGTTTGTCAAACAAAGCAGTATTGAGCGGAACTTTATTTGTAAAGTCAAGCGGCACTAAAGTGATCTTCAGGTCGGAAGCGAGTAATTCTTGAGCAGCAATGCAGTCAAGAAAAACATTAAATTCAGCATGAGTGTTATTTGGCACGCTAAACACATTTCCAGTAACATATAAAGCGCCACCCATCCAGACAATTTCTTCGATTTTTGTGGTGTAAGTTGGAAAAGCACGTAGAAGCATAGCGATATTGGTAACCGGACCAGTTGCTACAATTATGGGTTTCTTGCCGGTTTGTTTAATTGTGGAATCAATGAGGTCGGCCAAGTCCTGAGTGATATTAAATCCTTTGACAGCATCATACCATATCCTCCTCGACAGCCTGAGTTTCCGATTGAGACCATGTAACAAATCAGTATTACGTCTTCCAATTTCTGGGACTGACTTTTGGTAAGTGCATCCGGGGCTACCAAAAGTATCTGGATTTCTGTCAGATTCGTAGAGAGCATAATCAGCACCAAGTATTACAGGAATATTCCTTCCGGGGTAAATGTCATCAATGATATCAACAATATTCTGTGCTGAAGCTATCAACAGAAATTATTTAGTTTATTTGTTTTAGTATGTTACCATTACACCTCACTCATTATACACTTATAAGTTACAGTTCTGCATATTTATTAGTAAATACCTGCATGGGACCATCCACCTCCTTGGTAAGTGATGCCTCGTACATCAAGCTCCTTGGATTTGAGTGCATAAAGAATTGCAAAGAAGTCATCGGTGTCACCGTCTGTGTCTATAATTATAGGAATCGAGGGTTTTGACAATTTGAATTGGAATTGGTTACTACCAATTACTAAACTAACGAATATAGCAAGAACAGTAAAAGCAAAGAGTATATTGTTTTTCATTATTAATTTTTTTTTTTTAAATAATTAAATAATTTTTATAAAAATGTAAAATGTTACATTGCTGATTGATTTAAATAATTTAAATAACAAAATTTGTACAACAGATTTGTTATTCAAAAATTTTAATATTGTGTAGATTTTATCCTTTGTACTATTAACATGATAACTTTATTTACATCAAAATTTTGGGTTGGCCGAAAAGCCGGTTTAAACCTGATTGACTTATGCATGTGTATTAATATGAATAAATAAAAAACAGGAAAGTTAGAATTTAGCTAGTTCTTTTATTTATATCCTTAAAATCAAAATTTTTCAAGACAGTTAAATTGACTAGCTGCGGGTATGTTAATCGATTATGGTGCAGATCATATAAAGACATTTACCAATATAATGAATATTAATAAAAAAAAAAAGGTTGCCATCATTGTACGATTCATATTTTTTGACCTCTAATTGTTCGTTTAGCAATTTTCTTAAATCTGATATTTGTTTTTTATTAAAAATAAAAATGTATTAGTATGATTTAATTTAATTTACAAACATTTACCAAATTCGTGCAACAAATCTCCATAGCATGACCAGGGTGGAGGTCCCTGTTAGAATGATTTTTCCCATGAATATGCCGATCATTTCATTTATTTAAGTATATAACTTTTTAAAAGTACTAGTACTTTCGAATCATAGTAATAGTGTCTCGCATGTAATAGTTTCCCAAATATTTAATATCAATATTAATATATTTTCAGTTATATTATTCGTACATGAAAAATTTCCCAAGAATTTTTTATTCCCTTCCCAAAATTTCGACAATTACTACAAAAAAATTTCACATTGCTGAAAAAAAATTCTTTCCAATGGACAGATCAACAAGTACTCGATTTTACAATGCCACACCATTACAAACTTCCGAAGCCCAAAGTAATGATAATAATAACAATATAAATAGTGGTAATAATGACAATAGTCAGTTACATAACACACCTCAACAAGATCAACTAATCACATTAAAAACTCACGAGGATGAGGATGATCCATGCTTTGATTGTATGAATCCATGTTCAACGCATCCTTCATATCCTTCATATCTTAGAATTAATTATGAATTGCCTCTGGAAGGCACGGTAAAGCCTCATTCCAAACATGTTTTAATTTCAACGGGTAAAACAGATTGGATGGCTAGAATAGAAGATGATTCCACAAGTTTAGCAGGTCAATTACATAAAATTATTAAATCCGGTGATAGTAAGAATAAAAAAGAAAAAAAAGCAAAGAAAAAGGAAGATAAAAGAAAAAATTTTGATTCAGATAATAATGAAACACAACAAATTTTTAATGCTAATAATAATGTTGAAAAATCACCTCGTATGCTTATTACAAATAGTAGCCGAGAAAATACTGATAAAGATTCAAAAGGAAATGATGTTCTATTATTTCCTGATAATATTTTAATTCGTAATGTAGACCCAATGAATGCACTGGAATTTTCTAAAAGGTTTTTGTTACCATCATTATCATCGAATCAAGATCAAAATACCTCTTCAATCACTTTTCAAGTAGATCCAAACCCATACAAAGCTGTAATAGTAATATGTTCACATAGACGTCGTGATAAAAGGTGTGGCGTAGTTGCTCCAATATTAAAAGATGAATTTGATAAAATATTAAAAGATAAAAAGTTGGATGTAGAAAACAAGAAAGCCGAAGGCGTGGCTGTGTTTTTAAGTAGTCATATAGGAGGTAATAGGACTATTCTGACTTATTTTTATTCATTATTTATATAGTATTTTCCCATTAAAACTTTTTTTAAAACATTTTTTAGGACACAAATTTGCTGGCAATGTTATAGTTTTTCGAGATGGTCAAGGTATATGGTACGGACGTGTGATTCCATGCCATGCCAAAAGTATTATAGAATATACTGTTATTGAAGGAAAAGTGATAAAAGATTTGTACCGTGGATCAATAAATGGAAGTTTTGCGCCAGGAAAAGGTGGAAGATTGGATTGGTAATATAGTATTTATTATAATAATGATAATTATAGTACTAGTTGCAGTTATTTATATAAATGATAGACATGTATTAATTAATTTTGTACACATTTTGCTAATCTGGTGGACATTACTGTATTTTTCCTTTGACATAGAATCTACTTTACAAAATAATTATTGTACTATCTATCATTTTTATTTTGAATTTTGTATATACATGCTTAATATGTTCCCCATAATAATCTTTTAACATGATCTTTCTTTTTAGCTGCAGTAGAAATTATACCGAGTAATTTTAATTCTTTAAAGGCTTTAATGAATCTTAATCTAATATAAAAAAAAATAACAATAATTTTCAATTAGTTCAACCATATATTCAATAATCAAACAAACAAACAAACAATTTATTTATTTGTTACTTTATTTCATCATCATCAATGTTTTCATTCCCTTTCTTTATCAAAGATCCAAAAGATTCTAACCAATCATGGATATTAATTGAAATTCCACACTGTAAATATAATTTGTATAGTATACAAATGTCATTTTGTGTAGTTAAAATTTGTTCTCTTGGATCCAATTTAACTTTATCATCAACAACATCACAAGCATTATTGTTATTGTTGGCCATGAAGCTGTTATTATTGTGGATAGCATTAGAAGAATCAACAGGACAACAATTACAATCAAGGTAACATGTAGGTAATCCAAGTGCCGCAGTAATTATTTGACGTGGTGTTTGACTAAATGCCTTTTTTTATATATTTATAAATAATTAAATAACATATATATGGAATTTAATTGAAATATTAAATAATCAACATAAATATATCGTAACCTACAGATTTTAGAATACTATCACCTTTATGATAATAAATTTCGTGAAGTGGATTAATTGTATAATGTTGAAGGTTTTCTCTACAAATAATAATTTTATATTAATAATATAAAATGGTAATTGATGAATGAATGAAGATAATTACTCGAAAAATCTTTCTAAAAAATTAGTTATATCGTTAATAAGATCTGTGCGTTGAGTAATTGGATTATATTTAGAGTTTGATATTTCTTTTCTGATTGGTCTTGTTCTTCTCTTTTCGATACTCTTTAATTTTTGGGAATAGTTTTTCAATTTTTTAATTTCATTTGGCATTAAATTTTTTTGTGTAAGGTTAGTGATTAATGATGTAAGGAATGATTCAATTGATGCTGGTCCCAGTTTTCTTTTAAAAAAAACGCAACAAACAGTTATATTAATTATAGCAGTGACAGTTCAAATAATTATAGAATAACAATGATAATATTAATAAAATCGTACTTAATTTTATTCAACAATAAATTAGTATATTCATTTTTACCCAATCCAGGTTTCTCCAATGATATCATGTACAATTCAGTTTTTGATTTTTCTACATAGATATCATCACCATCACCATCACCATCACCATCATCATTGGAAGCAATTTGTTGTTTTAATAGACAGAGAAACTCAAATGCTAACGAAAATTTCTGATGATAAAGTTTCATATCTTCTAATAATTTTAACGTAACGGTTTTCAAACAATTATCATCATTCATTATATCGTTTACATCTTGTATTTGATCAACTTTTGTTTCAATATAACTATTAGTAAATAAATAAAATTATTAGTGCGAAAATAATAATAGTTATTATTTATATTTAATGAAACTCACTTTTGAAATGATGGAAGCATCCTTATCATATTGAAATGATTGTTGGTTAACAAATCGAGTCGTGAAGAAATTTCATTTTGATCAAAGACAGTTGATAGAATATTTAAAGGATTTGTATAATAATAACACATTAATGTATACTATATATTGTCAATTATCAATTATAATAATAATGTTAAAAACTTATAATTCTTGAATGGTTTTGCCAATGCTATAAACAGATTTTAATGTACCTTATAACTTGTAATAAATGACGAAATTGAATATTTTATTTCATAATTGGTTTTATATAAAGTTTGAAAAGTTTTATCACATAACTTGACACCTTCATGATTATGTACAAAGCACTATAAATAAATATAATTCCAAAATTAATATGTATAAATAAATAAGCAATAATAAAAATAAAAATAAAAAATATTACATCAGAGATAAATTCATCGAAAATTGTTAATTGATCAGGCATCTCGAAATGTTCTAACTTTAATAATCTTTTGACGGAATAAGGAAGCTTGCGAAAATTTTCAGCACCTTGATTGACTATTGAAAGCGATATTAAAAAAACTATAGGTATTTGATCCTGATATTCACTATTAATTTATTATAAAAGACCGCAACAATATTATTTAATTATTGTCAAATCAAAAATCAATAATTATAATAATAATAGTAATACCTGCAAGTATGTATAAATGATCCTAATATTTCTGATGGGATTCCTTCTAAATGTTGAATTATAATAATTAATTTGGGACAATCTTTGAAATCTAAAAAAAAATTTTAATTAATTATAAAATTCTATATGTAATAATTCATCCACCAAAAAAAAATATTAATACTTACCAAAATTTTCTGGTTGATATATAGATTTATACCATAGCATCATGGTATTGAAATCATTCTTTATATATTAATAAGATTTTTTAGTTTTAATAATTATATCGATAGGAAAATCATAAAAACCAATTATTAAATCACTCACCACATTCTTAACAGAGAAAGCCATTTCCTGTTAAGAAAGAAAATATTAATAATATTATTACCAATAAACAATTTAAAAATAGAAAATAAAGGTGCGATATCAAACTTCATCTTTGCTCGTATTAGTTTCATCTGTATCTATATCCATATATGTTACATGATTAGTTTTTTCATGTTCCTCCTCTTCTTCGATAGTATGATCACTTTCATTATCATTACTATCATTATCATCATTATCATCATCATTATCATCATCATTATCATCATCATCAACATCATCCTCATCTTTATCATCTTCATCATCGTTATCATACTCATCTCCATCTAGAGTCTGATCTTTCAATAATTGTCTTTCACTTGCGTTGTCCAAAAAAGTATCAGAAACAAATCTCATCAATGTTTTTAGATTATTGCAACACTCAGGTTGAAGTAAAATAACATTGTTTAGCTTCTTTTTTTCTAACTTTCGAGTCAAATTCTTGAAGAATTTTTCATTTTGTTTGAAATCAATTCCTAAAAATTTTTTGTAAAATTTTAAAATTCAAAGTAAATACTAAAATTACAGCAAAAATATTAATTAAATCTACCTGAGTAAATTAATCCAGTTGGAATACCCGAATATAACAATCTTTTATTACTGTAAATTAATATTAAAGTAAATAATTTGATTTGTGCATAAAAATTGATAATTTTTTAATTTATTTGAAGAAAAATTTACATGCACAAATTGTTCACAAATTCAAATATATCATCTATGATGGGTTTAGTTAATTTAGTCAGAAGATTCTATTAAATATGTATTATCAAAAATGTCATTTTAAGATAAACTAAAAAGATTCACTAGATTACACGCAATGTGATGCAATAAAATAAGAATGTAATGCAATAAAAAACGCGTGCCTCTTCTATACTTTCTAGGTCTGATTTAACTCCAATAAAATCTTTATATCTTGTGTCTAAAAGCTTTTGTGATTCACCTTCTAATAATTTGTAAAATGGATTATGATTTTGAATAGACATGTTTGAAAATTAAAATGTTTAAAAATTCTTCGTGTCACGAATTTTTACGTGTATTTTGATCGTTAGGTCACGTGCGAGAGCTAGTACGCATTCATTATTGATGACGCAATTTACATAAAATAAACTATTTCGTGGCCAAATGTTGCATCGGTCAAGTTGCCTAATAAATTGCTTCGCTAACGTATAATAAACCGCCTTCACATTGCCTTTTTACGTTGCATTCGAATCTGTCAGGTCTATTAGCTTGACTTTAGGTGGATACTTGTCTACTTATTATCAAAAATCCGGGTAGTCTTCTTCCATTTTTATTATTATTATAGGATTCATCACGTTATATATTTACGCGCCTGCCCCCACCAGGTGTTACATACCATCAAACGTCTTAGAAAAATTGATGGCGTAATATGCGATTTTCCTTATTATTATATATATATACGTGGGGTGGCTGAAAAGTAATGAGAAAATAGCTTTATTTCAAAAACTTTATTACAACTTTTAAAAAATTTTATTTCATTCCTTCAAAGTAGTGACCATCTTTATCTATGCAAAGTTGTAGCCTTTTCCGCCAATCCTCAAAAGCTTTGTGGTACTCCTCTTTTTCAATACCAAGAGTAATTGCCTGAACAGCACGTGCAAGATTTT